AGGGTTTCTCTGTGTAGCTTTGTGCCTTTCCTGGAACTCACTTGGTAGCCCAGGCTGGCCTCGAACTCACAGAGATCCGCCTGCCTCTGCCTCCCAATTGCTGGGATTAAAGGCGTGCGCCACCACCGCCCGGCCGGCCATGTTGTTTTTTAATTGGGAGTACAGAGCAGGGTCTTGTAGCCCAAACTGATCTAGAACTCCCCATTCTTCCACCTCAGAACTCCTGACAGGTTTGCATCAGCTAAATATTAATCTAATCACCTTTTAACAATAAAACTATTATTGCATGGGTAAACTTTGACCGAATGCCCAGCACGTCTCCACATTTGGTGTCTTGTGGTTCGATCATTCGTTTGTTTGTTTGTTTGATTTGGCTTTGACACGGGATCTCTCTGTGTAGTCCTAGCTGTCCCAGAGTTCGCTATATGTGTAGACCAGGCCGTCCTCGAATCCACAGGGATCCCCCTGCTTCTGCCTCCGGAGTGCTAAGATGATCAAAGGAGTGTGCCACCATGCCGGGGTATGTCTGCACACTCGTAATGCACCCCAGCGCCCCAGTTGCTTGCAGGGCTGAAGCAGAAGGTTCCTGAATTACAGGCCATCCTGAAAAGCATAGGGAGTCAGACAGACAGACAGACAGACGGGAGGCAAGGAGGCAGAGAAAGAGACAGAGACAGATTGTAACAGCAGCAATAAATTGATGATGTTTATAATTTTTCTTGTTGGAATTAATCCTGGAAGCATTCCTCCTTAGAGAGGCATTGCATAATTTACCTTTCACGTTGGCAGTTAGCACTCTGCCACGACTAACGTGGGTCCGCATTCCCTGACCACAAAAGGACAAGGATGGACTTGCACATTCACCACTCACAGCCCGCAACAGTCGCAAAGCTCCCTAGAAGGCCGCTTAAGGGGCCTTAAAATGCTTCGCTGCCGTGATCCCCCCAGAGAGAGCTACGGGAACCGTGGTGGGGCGGTGGGATGACCAGGGGGCTGGGAGAGAAGAAGAAGAAAGCGTTCTCTTCCAGCGAGAGGAAACTGGGAATCCAGTGAGAACCGGCCAGCAGTGCCAGGAAGTAAGGTGAGGGAAGGAAAAGAATTTCAATGAGTTCGGAGAGCTTCGGCTGCCCCGGTAACACGGACAGCATGAGGACACCAGCCCTCGCAGGGCCCGACAGCCAGAGCATGCGAAAACCAACTCTCCAGCTAAACAAATAGGAAAAGCGCTTCCAACTCGGGGGGGAAAGAAAATCAGCCCCGTTAAAAGAACAGCTCACCCACCAGCCAGCCCTCCACTCCCCTCCCTTGGATATTCACCACCGATGCCCCCAACGCCTCCAAGAGAGGGCGGCTCCCCGTGTCACATGACGCCGCGATCACGTGACCCTCGCCCCGCGGGAGCCAAGGCGCGATCCGGCTCCCGCAGCCCGAGGGAGGGAGGGAGGGGGGAGCCCCGCTGTGCCCACGCACACCCCAGCCAGGCTCGACCATGCTGTCCCGCCTGCTCAAGGAACACCAGGCCAAGCAGAACGAACGCAAGGAGCTGCAGGGTGAGCGCAGAGTCCCCGTCCCCGTCCCCCACCCCCGGCCGCCCCGGCCTCGCGGCTGCCGGAAGCCTGCACCCCGGGTAACCTCCCAGATCGAGGGGCGGGCGCCGGCCCGCGGCCCACCCGAGCGCTGGGCAGGGCGTTCGGGGCGGCACTTGTGCGAACTCCGTCCCCCTGCCCACCCGCTCCGGTCCCCCTGGCACCGCCGACCCGGTCCCTTCGGCGACGCCCCGAATCCCGGCCGAGGCCGGGCCTGAGCCCCGCCCCCGGGCCTTGACGCGCGATGCCGATTGGCCCAGGCGGCCTCTCAGCCCGGAAGTGGGCGGGAGCTGGGCGCCGCGCCCGCGGCTGGGTTCCCGCGGGTCTGCAGCCACGGCTAAGGCTCTCCCAGGGCCCAGACTGGGAACCCTGGGGTTGCCGATCCACCGATCCAAGTCGGGGAGAAGGGGTGTCTGGGGAGCGTCCCGGGCGTGCCTGAGGGAGTCCCTTCCCCGCCCAGGGGGCCAGCTTCCTCACCTCCAGAATAAAGGGGTTTGGTTTGTTCTATGTATGGGAGGTCCTTGTTCAGAGGTCTGACGTCAGTGGGCAGTTTGCAGACGAGGAGTAAAGTGCATGGGGAGCCCATTAGCAGCCCCACCTCTCCAACCCGAAGTCTACTCCAACCCCTCTCCCCTTCCCCAGAGAAGAGGCGGCAAGAGGCCATCACCGCAGCGACCTGCCTGACCGAAGCTTTGGTGGACCACCTCAATGTGGGGTACGAACCTCCTCCCTCAACTCGTTCCCTCCATCCACCCTGGTTAGACAGGGTCTGGGCCATCGTCCTGAGGGATCCGGGTGCCCCAGTCACCCCCCTGATCTCCCCCCCACCCCACCCCACCCCGCCTAATGTAACTTCGTGGAGACTTGAGTCAGCTGTGACCCCTAAGCAGCTGCAGCGGTTGAGAAAGCAGCCAGAATTCCCCCTCCCCACACTAACGTCCCTGGCACCACTTGATGCCATCTGGCCAGCTCGATTCACCCTGTTCAGTCCAGCTGTCACTTGGGTGGGAGGGAAGGCCAGCCTCTCTCGCCACATAGCCCCTTCCCTTCCTCACCTCCTACTCTCTGGCAAGCCTGGGAAACAGCTGGCAGGAAGAAGGTAGCACAGCTGGTACAAGTGAGGAAGAGCTGATGTCAAGAGCTGTGACAGCCAGGCTGTCCTCTCCCTTCCTTCCGGGTCCCCAGGGGCCCTACCAGCCACCTCAACCCTCAACGAGAAGGCCAGGGATAGCCAAACACTCGAGAGAAGATTTCCTGGACCTGTGTGACTCATAAGAGTGCAGAGATGGTGACTTGATAGTCCGTCTACGGGAAGCAAGGAGTGACATATGACATACTATGCCTTCCACTCGGGGCACGGGGCACGTAGCAGAGCTGGGTTGTCGATCCAGAAACTGAGTCATCCAAGGGAGTCATGCAGGCGGGGGAGGGGTCATCTCCATTACTCATCTGAGGGGAGATGGGGGGGGGGAATGGCTGTGGTTGGGGCCTGTGGTCTCCTTTGTCTCCACACTGGCACCTCCTTTGCTACCATTTGTGAGGCCGGCTGGCTTCTCTCTTTTCTACTTGCTTGCTGTATGCCACCCCGCTTTCAGGCTTAGAGGGCAGCTAAGCCAAATCCAGATTAGAAAGGGTTTTGTGCTGCTACCCACAGCTCCTGGTCTCCAGAAAATGAAACAAAGGCTTAGTGTGTCTCAGCCCTTGTCAGGTGCCTTGCCCACTTTCTTGGATCCCCCCCCCCCCCGCAACACCCTTTGCCTCCTCTGCCCCCACACATTCCAGTGGGTGGTGGCACCGGATGTGGAGTCTCCTTACTGACCTAGAGCTCTGGGATAGGGAAGGAAAAGGTCATCTGCTAGTGAGAGAGGGGACAGTGGTCACACAAAAGGCCAAGCAAAAACCATTGGTGGGAGATGAAGCACCAGCCCTGCTATGATGGTAGCCACAGCCAGCGGTCTGCCTGAGCAGGAAAGAAGTATTGCCTGGAGCAAGGACAGGAGTGTGTGTGTGTGTGTGTGTGTGTGTGTGTGTGTGTGTGTGTGTGTGAGAGAGAGAGAGTGTGTGTGTGTGTGTGTGTGTGAGAGTGTGTGTATGTGTGTGTGTGTGTGTGTGTCTCAGAGAAAGAGTGTGTGAGAGAGTGTGTGTGTGAGTGTGTGAGAGAGAGAGAGAGAGACTGTGTGTGTGTGTGAGAGAGAGAGAGTGTGTGTGTGTGTCTCAGAGAGAAAGAGTGTGTGAGAGAGAGTGTGTGTGTGTGTGAGAGTGTGTGTGTTTATGTGTGTGTATGAGAGACAGTGTGTGTGAGAGAGAGAGAGTGTGTGTGTGTGTATTTATGTGTGTGTATGAGAAAGAGACTGTGTGTGTATGTGTGGGTGTGAGAGAGTATGTGTGTGTGTATGAGAAAGAGACAGTGTGTGAGAGAGAGAGTGTGTGTGTGTGTGTGAGTGTGTGTGTGTTCACTCATCTTTACGGATGAGTGAGAGTTGGATGTGGTAGCAGATGCCCACATGCCTGTAATCCCAGCACTTGGACAGTAGAGGCAGAAGGATTAGTTCAAGGCCAGCGTCATCCCCATAGCAAGTCGAGGTCATCCTGGGCTACATAAGACCCTGTCTCAAAAGGGGGAGGAAGAGACAAGAAAATCTCTTGGGATAGGCTTATTTGACCCGGGGTTCCTAAGGAGAGGGGTTTACTCTCCCAACCCACCCGGGATTCAGGGAGGGGCCTGATTCCCTTCCCAACGTCTTGCAGAGATCACTGGGCTTCAAATCACTGCCAGATGTGTCCCTGCTGCTGACTTTTCCCACGCCCCCTTTCCCTCCCAGCTTCTTCCTCAGGGATATCCCCAGGTTAACCCTCCCTACCCCATCTCAGCTACAGAGACTCCTTGAGAGGATAAGAAATGGTATGTTTCTAGTCAGCTCCCAAATTGGCTTTCTTGGGAACCCTAGGGTTGGAGGAAGGAGCCTGCTTCATTTGGGTCACATCCGGAAAAGGCCAGGACCCCAAGGCTTCCCCAGTCCTACCTCCTGACTGATCCCCCACCCTTGTAATAGGCCCTGAAGACCTCTCTTCCCCCCCCCCCCGCCCCCATGTACTGGATGAGCTGACATCCTCCCTCCTCCAATCCTTAGTGTGGCCCAGGCCTACATGAACCAGAGGAAGCTGGACCATGAGGTGAAGACCCTACAGGTCCAGGCTGCCCAGTTTGCCAAGCAGACGGGCCAGTGGATTGGAATGGTGGAGAACTTCAACCAGGCACTTAAGGTGGGCCACACCCCCACATCGTTGCCTTTTTCTGAGCCCCCGTTGGCTGTCTTCAGTCTCATAACCGCCGCAGACCTAAGGTTGATGACGAAGGGGGGATGGCCCCAGAGACGCCTTCTGGTGTCAGGAAAGCTAGAAAGAAAAAAGGCAGGATCTCGAGATGTGGCTCAGTGACATGTTTAGGGCCCTGGGTTCAATCCCTAGCTCCGCAGAAAACCCTCAGTAGGGTCCACAGACCCGTTGTTCCAGCTGCTCTGGAGGCTGAAGGAGGGGGAGGACAGCTGGAGCCCAGGGGTTGAAGCCAGCCTGAGCAATGTTGCCGTGGTTCATCTCAAAGAAAGGCAGACAGACAGACAGACAGACAAGCAGTTGGTGTATCTGAGTAAGTGACCCCAGCCTACGAGGCGTAATCTACCCACCCTGATTCCTGGCCTCCAATCTCTTCTCCCCCTCGCCAGGAAATCGGGGACGTGGAGAACTGGGCTCGGAGCATCGAGCTGGACATGCGCACCATTGCCACTGCCCTGGAGTACGTCTACAAAGGGCAGCTCCAGTCCGCCCCGTCCTAGCCCCTCTCCACCCGCCCCGACGGGAGGGAGACTGGTGGGGCCATCAATAAAACACAAGCTTCCGTTCTACGTGGTGTGTCGGACGGAGTCACGAGCTCCCGGGTGGTGGTGGGGGTTCCGAGGTGATCTCCCCGTGGGACTAGAGACTTGGTGGAGGGTGGCGACATTCCTTTTCCTGCATCTACTCTTCCTTGAACCTGGTGCAGGTGCCTTTCAGCTGCGCAGAAAGTGTGCCTCGTGCCTGCCCAGAGGAGGCCTCTGCTCAAAACCTTCTACTTCCAGACTTCAGTTTCCTGCAGAGGAGAATTGAGTCGGGGAGCAGGCCTAGTCCTCAGCTCTGGCTCTCTGCCTCACCACACGCTCATGTGCTCTCCCGGCTGCCACTAAGCAGTGTCATGAGTCTGGGCCAGGTGGGAGATTAATTCCTGGGGGGCACTTGAGGGCTGAGAAGGAAGAAAAATGGCAGGTCCAGGGCCACCCACAGAGAGGGGCAGCTGCCATCCTTGGTAGTTCCCACCTCCTAGGAGACAGTGGCAAGAATGGTCAGGAGCCCAGGCTGAGAAAGACCGCCTGAGGGGGGGGGGGGGGCTGGGCAGAACTGCCCTCTGCCAAAACCTAGCTCAGCCAGGCAGGCTTCAGCCTCTTAGCTGCTCCTCCTCCTCACCGCTGCCCTCACCCCACAAACATACAGACACTTAACAGTCCTGCTCCACAGCAAGAGTCCACCCCTCCAGACTTTGGCCTTAGCTGTAGCTAGTGTGGGAGCCTGGGAAGTCCGAGAGCAAAGTCTCTTAAGCAGACGAAAAAGCTACAGCTTCACACATTGTGTGCCTGCCAGCTTTCCCCAGAGGTACGTAAGGGGTGGGGGTGGGGGGGGTGCTATAAAAAGACCAGCTAGGGATGGCATGTATTGATCGTCCAAGATTCAAGCTTTGGGCATTGTCCTCACGTCATCCCTTTGATCTTCCACAACACCGGGATGGGCCTGGTAGGTAGTGTAGTTCAATTTGCTAAATGAGAAAATGGGTCCCAAGACAGAGTAAATGCGCCCAGCCTCACACAGTAACTTTGAGGCCACCGGGACTGAAATGCAGGGCTCTTGGTTCCAAAAGCAAGGCAAGGAATGCATTCAGAGGGTTTTGATGTTCCTGGATCAGTAGAAAGTACAATGGTAATCCAGGTCCCTCTGCTCCCACACATAACACGTTTGCACACAGGACCAGCTCGGGTTTATTTCATTAGCTGCAAAGACAGTGTTTGCCCACATCTGTTTTGCACAATAAGCCATAGCTTGCCAATCATCTGCGAAGCAGATAGTTTCTTGATTTGTCTGCTCAGACCAGACATTTCCCGCTAAGTAGATGTTAGGGGCCAGGGCTAAAGGGGCAGAGGAAATGACAAGCTTTCCTGCCCAGTCTGGGCTGCCATCTGCAGGGCATCGCACCTAACCATGTGGCTGCCCCTGCTTCTCGGTGCCTTGCTGTGGGCAGTGCTGTGGTTGCTCAGAGACCGGCAGAGACTGCCTGCCAGCCACGCTTTCATATTCATCACTGGCTGTGACTCAGGCTTTGGGCGCCTCCTGGCACTGCAACTTGACCAGAAAGGCTTCCAAGTCCTGGCCGGCTGCCTGACCCCCTCTGGGGCAGAAGACCTACAGCAGATGGCCTCCCCCCGCCTCCACACAACAGTGCTGGATATCACTGACCCCCAGAATGTCCAGCAGGTTGCCAAGTGGGTGAAGACGCACGTTGGAGAAACTGGTGAGTACAATGGAGTCGCTGAGGCTGTGGGGGAGCATGGGGTTCAAATCCTCCCAGGAAGGAGACATCGGAGAATGCCTCACCGCCAGAAAACCCCCACCCTGTGTCTGTCATCTCCCCACAGGGCTCTTTGGCCTGGTGAATAATGCTGGTGTGGCTGGTGTCATCGGACCTACGCCGTGGCTGACACGGGACGATTTCCAGCACGTGCTGAACGTGAACACACTGGGTCCCATTGGGGTCACTCTTGCCCTGCTGCCCCTGCTACAACAGGCCCGGGGCCGGGTGGTCAACATCACCAGCGTCCTGGGTCGTCTCGCAGCCAATGGCGGGGGCTACTGTGTCTCCAAGTTTGGCCTGGAGGCCTTCTCTGACAGCCTGAGGTGAGGATGCACAGCCACAGGCCCAGCCTGGAGAACTTAGGAGAAATGGAAGGGGAGACAGGGTTACATATAGCTGAGACCCCAAGCTTTATCACCTACAAGCTGTGTCCTTAAATAGCTTACACTGTGCGTGTGTGTGCGTGCGTGCGTAATTGAGACAAGTCTCACTGCGTCATCCTGACTGACCTGGAACTCACAGAACCAGCCTGCCTCTACCTCCCCAGAGCTGGGCTTAAAGGTGTGCACCGCCACACCAGGCAGGTTACTTATTTTTTGAGTCAGGGTTGCACTCTGTAGTCCAGGCTGGCCCCAAATTCTTGGCAATCCTCCTATCTCAGCCTCTTGAGCACTGGATTACAGGTGTGAGCCACCACACACCCAACTAGGTTATTTCTCTCTGTTTGGTTTTTTCCTTCCAAGTCTGTTAAATCCGAGTGAGACCTCATGGGGGTTCAGAGCAAAGAGAGGTGTGTTGGGGAAAGCCTTATGTCATTCATTTTTAAGTGGCATTTACACACACACACACACACACACACACACACACACACACGCACACACGCGCGCGCGCGCACACATATGTACTTATTGTGTGTATGCATGCACACATGAACAGGTACCATGGCGTGCAGGTCGAGTGCACGTATGGGAGTCTGTCCTTTTGCTGAGGTGATGAGGGTGATGGCAAGAGGCCTTACCTGAGGAGTCGTCTCACCAGCCCCTCATATCACTGTTAATAGTAGAAGAACTCATACTTTCTCACTTCATTCTCCTGACCATTCTACATGAATAGCTCTGGCTACTTAGTAGGAGCGTTGAGACATGCCCCTAGGCCAGGTCTGCCCTCATTTTTGAGACAGGGTCTTACTGTATAGACCAGAAGCCCCCCCCCCTTTTTTTTAAATTTTTATGTGTATTGGTGTTTGGCCTGCATGTATGTCTATGCGAGAGTATCAGATCCACTGCAACTGTCATGTGGGTGTTGGGAATTGAACCCTGATCCTCTGGAAGAACAGCTAATGCTCTTAACCGCTGAGTCAGCTCTTTCTTTCTTTCTTTTTTTAAGACAAGGCATCACTCTGTAGCCCAGACTGGCCTCAAACTCACTATCCAAGTGCTGGGATCACAGACACATGACTCCACGTAGGCCTTACCATAACAGTTTAAACAATATTGTTCAAAGTCGGTGAGACTACGAAGGCGCTCAGAGGACCATGGGAGCAGCAGAGTCTCAGTTTGGGACAGAAGCCCAAGTTGTTCAGGTAGAGCCCAACTAACTAGTAAGGAAGGCTGCCCTCGCCGGGCGGTGGTGGCGCACGCCTTTAATCCCAGCACTCGGGAGGCAGAGCCAGGCGGATCTCTGTGAGTTCGAGGCCAGCCTGGGCTACCA